AATTAGAATCGGCGGAAATCGGAAATTCCATTCCAATTTGCACCCATAATTGCGTCCTCCTTTCGATTTGTGTAGACGTCTAGAACAGGTACGGTGAGAGGTCTTATATAAAAATTAGATATGTTTTCAAGTATAAATTTATTTAATGATAGTATAGGAGAAATATATTTGGAGAAAAGAGAGAATGAATTATCTCTCACGTATATTAATCATATATATAGTTACATGTAGGAAACCCTAATCCTAACTACACAAGGTAACCTATTATACAAGGTAACTAGAATAAATAGGAATAATAATAATATACGTAATATATATATAAAAGATACGCTAATACACCCCCGCAGTCGAAACGGGAAAGGAGAGGACGTGGAGACTGGAGACAAACTGTTGGAACAGTTGAGTAGGGAGTCCTTTCGTGAAGATATCGGCAAACTGGTAGGCGGATGGGACGTGAAGAACTCGAACGTGTCCCAAAGCAACTTTGTCTCGGACAAAGTGGATATCGATCTCCACATGTTTCGTACGAGAGTGTTGAATAGGATTGCTGGATAGGTAGACGGCACTGACGTTGTCACAGTAGACAATAGTGGCTTTCGAAAGTGGGCAGAGCAGCTCAGAAAGTAGGTTGCGTAACCAAGTCGTTTCGGCGACGGCATTTGCGACAGCTCGGTATTCGGCCTCCGCACTAGATCGAGAGGTAGTGACCTGTCGTTTGGAGGACCAAGAGATGAGGTTGTTGCCGAGGAAGACACAATAACCCGATGTCGAACGACGAGTGTCAGGGCAGCCACCCCAATCGGCGTCGGAGTAAGCGATAAGGGAGAGGTCCGGATTGGGGGAGAGCTGAAGGCCGTGATCGAGAGTTCCACGAATGTAGCGAAGGATACGCTTGAGAGCGGCCATATGAGGTTCCCTCGGATCATGCATGAATAGACATATTTGTTGCACAGCATAGCAGATGTCAGGACGAGTAAACGTGAGGTATTGCAGTGCACCGGCAAGGCTGCGATAAAGAGTAGGGTCTGCAACGGGGGGTCCAGTGGTCGAAGACAACTTGCTCTTTGTGTCAGCCGGCGTAAGACAAGGGTTGCAGGAAGCCATATGTGCACGCTCTAGGATCTCGTCGGCGTACTTGCGTTGAGAGAGAAATAGCCCATTCGACGAGCGAGTGACTGAGATGCCGAGAAAGTAGTGAAGATCGCCAAGATCCTTCATTGCGAACTCTTGATTAAGGGCAGCGATGATGGAGCGGAGCAATTCAGGTGTTGAGGCCGTAAGTACAATGTCATCGACATACAGCAGAAGGTAGGCGCAGGAACTGTTGCGACAGTCGCGTGAACTGCTGCGACAGTCGCGTGAACTGTTGCGACAGTACACAAAGAGTGAAGTGTCGGACTTGCATTCTCTGAACCCCATGGTAGTAATGTGAGATGCAAAACGCTTGTACCAAGCACGTGGTGCCTGCTTGAGACCGTAGAGTGCTTTGTTGAGACGACACACGTGAGTGGGGCGAGATGGATCGACGAATCCGGGAGGTTGCTCGCAGTAGACAGATTCATTGAGATTGCCATGTAGGAAGGCATTTTTCACGTCAAGCTGGTGGATTGGCCATGATCGCGAGAGAGCAATACTGAGAACTGTTCGAACAGTGGCTGGTTTGACAACTGGGCTGAAAGTCTCGTCAAAGTCGATTCCAGCCTGCTGGTGAAACCCACGAACAACCCACCGTGCTTTGTATCGCTCCAGGGAGCCATCAGACTTGAGTTTCTGTTTGTATATCCACTTACCAGAAATAACATTAGTGGACGGGGGGCGGGGCACAACATTCCAAGTATTGTTTTTAATTAAAGCAGTATATTCCTCAATCATGGCGTTTCGCCAGTTTTGGTCAAGAAGAGCTTGGCGATAGTTGGTGGGAATGGGAGAGGTAGAGGATGCAACGAGAGAGAAAGGGACTTTGGGTTTGTGGATGCCCACTTTACTGCGAGTCACCATAGGGTGAGCAAGGGGAGGTGGGGGAGGTGTGGGAGTAGGAGAAGGGGTTGTGAGCTGGTTGTGGTCGACAGGTAGTGTCGCAGGGGAAATAGGTGTTGGCTGTGTTATAGGACTGTTGGACGGACTGTTGGAACAGGGTGGTTCACTGTTGGAACAGTTGGAGGAACTGTTGCAACAGTTAGACGAAGTCTGAGGGAGGAGGAACAGGGAGGGTGTGTTTTCGTCCAAGGCAGAAGGAGGAGGGGTGTTTTTGGGGGGAGTTGACTCAGCAAAGGGAAAGTTAGTTTCGTTGAAGATAACATGACGAGAAATTATGATTCGGCCAGTGGATCTATCAAGGCAACGATAGCCTTTGTGAGAGGAAGGGTGACCGAGATAGACACAAGGAGTAGAACGGGGGGCGAGTTTATGTGGTGTGGTGGCGGTGAGGTTGGGATAACAGAGACAGCCGAATACTCGAAGATGAGAGTATGTAGGTTTGATGAGGTAAAGAGCTTCGTGAGGAGTCCGGTTTTGTGTGGTTTTGGTAGGTAAGATATTGAGTAGGTGTGTGGCCATATGAAGGGCTTCGACCCAATAAGTAGGGGGAAGATGGGCTTGAAAGATGAGGGATCGAATCATGTTAGTTATAGTGCGGATCATTCGTTCTGCGTGTCCGTTTTGAGGGGAGGTGTGGGGACACGAAAAACGGTTTAGGATGCCGTGTTTAGTGAAGTAGTTTTGAAAATCCGCATTTTTGAATTCACGACCATTATCACTTTGTAAGGCTTTCAGGGGATGTTGGAATTGAGTTTTGAGAAGTGTATGAAAATTGACAAAGGTTGTAAAAACATCAGATTTATTTCGAAGGGGAAAAGTCCATAAATAATGGGTAAAATCATCAACTAGCACAAGATAATATTTGAAACCCGTAAGACTAGAAACAGGAGAAGTCCATAAATCAGCATGAATAATTTGAAATGGAGCAACAGTAGTAGATTTTTGAGAAAAAAATGGTAGACGAAAATGCTTGCCTAATTGACAGGCATTACAAAGAGACTCCCTAGGGTCTTTATTATGGGAAAGAAAATTGCTAGAAAATAAACGAGACATGACGTGTTTGCCGGGATGGCCTAGACGCCGATGCCAAAGAGTTCGAGACGAAGGTGTTGCGACAGTGAGGAAAGCAGCGGGAGGTGAGGTGGGGGGAGGGACGCCAAATGGATATAGGTCACCGGAGCTATTGCACCTGAAAATCTCGACTCGACTCCGAAGATCCTTCACAGAAAAACCAAACGGATCAAATTCAACCGAACATGAGTTGTCGCGGGTGAACTTTCGAACAGATATAAGGTGTTTAACGATATTGGGTGTGACATAGACATTTGTGAGGCGGAAAGGAGTGGTGGGAAGAATTGTGTGGCCTATGTGGGTTATGGGGAGGGTGGAACCATTACCGACGACGACATGTTTGGGGAATTTACTGCCAGGATTAAAAACAAAATTGAAATTACCTGAGTGTGGTGCCATATGAGAGGTCGCCCCGCTGTCCATGAACCACTGTGACTCGGTAGGCTGCTGAAGTGTCACCGTATTCAAACGGTGTGCGAGATCCACCACGTTGGCACTGTTGCAGGAACTGTTGCAACTGTTGATGGAACTGCCAGAGCTGGGGCACGGTTGCTGCTGCGGATGAACCTGAGTAGGAGCCGAGTGACCGGTGTAGGGTTCAGGTGGTCCAGTAAAGTAGGCTTGAGCCGCTGGGTGGCCCGATGTATTTTGAGCGGATCCCAGAATTGACTGTTGTCGGTAAGGTGCGCGCCAAAGTTGAGATGCGCCATGAGCACTATGATAGCCGTAGTGTTGCATGGGGTGACGGTTAGTGCTGCGACCTCCGCGACGGTTGGATCGGCCACCCCCGCGCTGATAGCGCGAAGAACTACCTCCGCGGGAACTGTTGCAGGAACTGTTGCAACTGTTGGATGGACAGTTGGCGTTGGAGGCGTAGAAAACAGCAGCGGTCTGCTCCGGTTCAGAAATACGTGTTTCTTCCATCTGAAGGAGCGAACGAGTCTGTAGAAAGGTGGGAAGGGGATTTTGAAAGGAGATGAGATTGGCGACGGTCCCGTAATTTTTCGGAAGGCCGTGTAGGGTTTGTAGAACGAGTTGTTTGTCGGAGATTGGGTTTCCGACATCAGCCAAGCTGTCCGCCGTGGTCTTGATTATTTGGCAATAATCGTGAATGGAGAGAGCGCCTTTCTTGAGGGACTTGAATTTTTCTTCAAGTTGAATGGCTCGATAGTCTTTGTTATCGGTGAAGAGAGAAGAGATGGCGTTCCATAGATCACTGGCGGTGGAGGTTTTTGAGAGAACCATGCTGGATAGATCGTCGGAGATGGTGCCGTAGATCCAAGATTGGAGGAGATAGTCGGTGCGCTGCCATTCGTCGGCGGAAATCGAATCCGGTCGGGGTTTGCCATGGAGAAGATCGGAGAGGCTGAAACGACCGACGGTGATCGTGAAAAAGTGGCTCCACTTTTGATAATTAGGATTCTTTAGATCTAGAGTAACGGGGATAAGGGATTTGATATTAGAGATGGCATGGGCGAGGTGAAAAGGATTGAGAGAGGCGGTGGAGGAAGAAGAAGAAGAAGTATCGCCGGCCATGGAGAAGAGACGGGGCGACGGCCGAGAGGGGGAGATGCACAGCTAGGTTAACCTAGTGTCTGATACCATATAGGAGAAATATATTTGGAGAAAAGAGAGAATGAATTATCTCTCACGTATATTAATCATATATATAGTTACATGTAGGAAACCCTAATCCTAACTACACAAGGTAACCTATTATACAAGGTAACTAGAATAAATAGGAATAATAATAATATACGTAATATATATATAAAAGATACGCTAATAGATAGGAATAAACTTGGGTTTTTCAAGGATGTGGAATAGAATCAAAATGAAAAGCATAAAAGGTATGTTACAAAATAATAAAGAAGTGTGAGAAAAAAACTGACCGAGGTGGCTTGGAAAGAGTAGTACATCCATGGCTGAAGAACTCCGAGAGCAGAGCAGATGCCAAATGTCCAAAGAGAGAGAAGAAGAAGAAGAAGAAAAAAAGGGAGGAGAGAGAAGTAAAGAGAGGGAAACTCTCTTTTTGTTTAGTAGTTGTATTTGGTGCAAATAATAAACTCTCTTTTTGTTTTAGTAGTTGAATTTGGTGATCTCTGTGAATGAGAACAATTTTTAAAATGGGTTGATTGTGTATTTATTATTTCTGATTATACACGGTGTATTTCATATTAGTTATAGTAGAGATCGTAAAATAATAAAATAAGACTCGGAGAGTTGACTCATATTGGGCGAACTTATTTTGGGGTGATTGATCGAGAAAGACAAAGTTAGAGCCATTTTCATCATATCTCTCTCTTTCATCATACACAAAAAAAATAAAGATATACGCAAAAACCAATCTAAGATATGGAGGCTTCACAAAAATTATTAATCGATACGCTCGAGAACATTTTCGAAGTCATGCGTCGGAAGGAATCTGCCACAGATTACGATGATTTGCTGCTGAAGATTTTTGACGAGAAACATCGAAGAGCAGAAGACTTCATGTTCATGAAAAGTTTGCGCTATGAGCATACCGTCCACACAGACTACGACGAATTGCTTTTATCCCAAGTAATTGGCTATGCAAAAAAGGAGTTGTCGGTAATTCCGATTGTTGGTGGCTGTCGAAGCGGGAAGACATCACTTGCCCGGAGGGCTTACGAAAACGGATGGGTAAAGAATCATTTCAAAGTGCGAGCTTGGGTTAAGGTGGACGGACAGGAACTGAGGCTGCATCAGGCTGCGCATGGAATAATAAAATCTGCTTTGGATATCTCGTGCTCGATACATGAACTGCATGTATTGGACGGAATCGTAAGGGAAACTTTACAGTCCGAGAGATGTTTGATTGTGTTTGATGGAGTCGAATCTATGTCCAACGAGTCCTGGTCCCACATGGTCAAACACTGGTTTGACTTTGTGGATTTGGGATCTGTGGTCTTGATCACAACTTGTCGCAGTGAAGTTGCAAATCTTGTTGGCCAAAATCCATTTGAGTTGGGACAACTGTCTGAAAATGATGCAATGTCTCTGTATAGAAAATTTATGCATCATTTAGACAAAGATGTACCAACTCCTCTCCTGACTAAAAATGTCGCAGCATTGTGCGGGGGCAATCCTCTTTCTATAACACTTCTCGGAAACTTAACGAGTTATGATCGCAAACTACTTTCTGCTGTGGATTTCTCGGAAAGTATGTCGCTTCCCGCTCCGGATGCATCAGCTATTATTTTGCTGTGCGTTTGGGTCCTTCCTCCATACTTAAGGTACTGCATAGCCTACTGCTCCCTATTTCCTAAAGGTTATGCATTCAACAAACAGAAGATCGATAGGATGTGCGCTGCTCTTCGATATGATTATGCAGACCCGTATGGCGTTAATAAGTTGTTCACGACGTCATTCTTCACGGATATGACTTACGACGACATTGGTGAGGTTGTAGAGTTTCGAATGCCTGTCCTGGTCAAGGATGTATTGGAGGATGTTGCTAGAATTGTCTACAAATTGAATATTGTAGGTGTGATTGGCTCTATATGTGACGATGCCGGTGCACTTTCCCTTGAAGGGGAACACATCAAGCCAAAAGATATGCAGACATTGATATTATCACCTACCATATATCTAGGTCGCAATCTGACTCATTCGCTTGCTGAATTCACGGAATTACGGTCACTTGATTTGAGTTGCAGCGGCATTCATACTTTGTCGGAAGATATACGCGTGTTGAAAGAACTGAGGTACCTCAATCTCTCTTACACACTCATTGAAAGGCTACCAGATTCCGTCACTCATCTTTCGGAGCTTGAAACTCTGGATCTGTCGTGGTGTTATCATCTTAAAGCTTTACCTGAGGGAATCTGTAAGCTGACAAATATGATAAATTTAGACTTGTATCAATGTGAGTCTCTGTCTGAATTGCCATCCGGAATCAAGTCCCTTAACAAACTTACTTCAATGCCACTGTTTGTTTTGGGTGACACGGATCGTGATTGTGCTCGCTTACGAGATCTTGGGAGTTTACGCAATCTCAAAGGCAGATTGGAGATCAGAAATCTCGAGAATGTGAGGGAGACCGATCAAGCCAGAGATGCAATGATGTCTAATAAATCTCTCAACCACTTGGGATTGTCGTGGAGCAATAGTAGTCAAAAAGAGGCTGAACATAATAATTGTTCCGAAATATTGGAACTCTTACAGCCTAATAAAACAAGACTCAAAATTCTTGATATAAAAGGGTATATGGGTTTGAGATTTCCTCGTTGGATCTCAACCATGGAATATGTAACTAAGATTTTCATTTCGGATTGCGCATGCGAGGAACTCCCATCACTGGGCCAAATTGAATCCCTCAGGGAGCTACAGCTGAAAGGGATGAACAACATTAAGCGCATTGGTCCAGAATTCTACGGTGATAATCACCATGACGTATTTCTATCACTTAGGGAACTCGGGCTTTATGATATGCCCATGTTATCGGAATGGGCCAGTCCACTGTATTTCGACAGCTATGTGCTTTGTGCGCTCAAAACTCTGACAGTTGAAGGTTGTCCTAAACTTGCAAGTTTGCCATCCATTCTACAACAACCAAAGTTGATAGTTTGCAACAGCTCTAGTCAGATCCTCCGTTCCTTGTCTATCATGAACAGCAGTAGTAGTTTTCTTTGGGAAATTTCATCATCACTTCTTATAAGAGATATGAATTTGGGGATGTCTTTGGGGGAATTGATCATGGAGTCTAAATCATTCAAAACACTTATTCTATTCAACATCGATGGTGAATTCGATCATGCTCCACGTTTTTCGGGAGAAGGCGCTCTCCTTAAACATTTGGGTATTCTACATTGTCGTCAGCTCAGAGACATATCTTTGCCTTGTATTCACAACCTTCGTAAGGTACATATTTCGGACTGTCCGAATTTGATGTTCATTCATGTTACGGCCTCGTTTGTTTATGGAATCGAGGAGTTGGTCGTTGAGGATTGTCCTGAAGCGACTACCATCGACGGGATTAACAAGCTCGGCTACCTGAGGAAGTTAATAATTAAAAATTGCAATACGGAATTTGATTTCAACTATGAGATTTCCTATCATTTTCTGAAGAACCTCAAGTACTTGTGGATTAGTGGATGTCCAAAGTTGGAAGAGCGGTTAAACAAGACGCATGCACTACTATCCCATATCCCAGTTGTATTATTATTATTATTATTATTATTATTATTATTATTATTATTATTATTATTATTATTATTATTATTATTATTATTATTATTATTATTATTATTATTATTATTATTATTATTATTATTATTATTATTATTATTATTATTATTATTATTATTATTATTATTATTATTATTATTATTATTATTATTATTATTATTATTATTATTATTATTATTATTATTATTATTATTATTATTATTATTATTATTATTATTATTATTATTATTATTATTATTATTATTATTATTATTATTATTATTATTATTATTATTATTATTATTATTATTATTATTATTATTATTATTATTATTATTATTATTATTATTATTATTATTATTATTATTATTATTATTATTATTATTATTATTATTATTATTATTATTATTATTATTATTATTATTATTATTATTATTATTATTATTATTATTATTACTACTACTTCCCAGCTTTTGTGACTTATCACAAATGCTATTTCAATTTTCTGGAAATTAGTAAATAATTTTTATATTCATGTGTGTTAATTTGCTCTCTTTTTTTTCTTTTCTTTCTTTTTTTTTTTAAATTCAGGATCCAGCCAAGGAAAGAAGCACGAATGAGTTTTCTATTTCCATTTTCAATTTTCTTTTTTTTTTTTTTCTCTTTTTCAGTAACTATTTTGCATGAAGCATATTGTCGTCTTACATTGTCATCCTTAAGGTGTGAATTTTGACAGAATCTTTTTTATTCTATGGAATATTACTCAAAAAATACCAAATTTATCCTTAGGGGTAGTTGAAATAAAAATACATTTCTTCTGTTGGTAGTTGTAATGTCTTTTCTTAATAAAATATGACTGTTGTACTATTGTCTTATTGTAATATTTATCATTTGAAAAAGTATTCTTTATGAACATTTAAGTATGTTTAACTGTATTACACATACAGATGTGGTATAAATTACTTTGATTCACTACATTTTCCTCTAATAATTTTTTTTATGGGTTCCCGCAGTAGCTTTTGTCAAATTAGTAGGTTAAATTTATAGGCGGAATTAGCAATTTCTGAATAATATCAATTCTTTTTTAGAAGAGAACAAATAATTTTAATTTGGCTCGAAACAAATTCAGAAAAATCGAATTTTTAAAATTGAAATGAGAAAAACTATGTCCATAATGAGAATTTTTGGATTGGAATCAACAAAACTCAATAATTATATATTTTAGTTCATGTTTAATATAAAAAATATAGTAATTTTGATAGTATAAATATCACCAATAAGTCATCTGAAGTCATCGAAGTGTCACTGAAAAGTTGTATATAAATGTCATTGAAAATTTTGTTAGAGCAAAAACATATGAGGATGAAGTTCACGAAAAAAATCATGTAATGGGCCATTGTTAGATTCAAACAAACCTTATTGGGGGTCTTATTAATTATGGTTACTTGAATGATTTTTTGGTAATTCAACCATATATCAGGGGGATTTTGGTAATTTATATTTTTCTAATTTTATTTATCTTAAGAACATTATAGACATTGTACATATTTTGTTAAGAAATTCGGTCAATCGTTGGTTGAGGGGTCTTTTGATAATCTGATATGCTAAATTCCACACCAGTTTTATCAAATCATACACACAATTGAAAAAATTTATGTCTCTAAAATATCATCTTCTCCTTCCTCACCCTTCTTCTTTTTCCCTAACTTTTTTCACAAAATCACACACTAAAAACATCCATATCATTCCAAGTTCGAATTTAAGAAAAATCTTCATGTGTTCAAACTAAAATAAAGTTGGAATTTGAGAAAAAAATTCGAATTGATCAGAACTTAAATATTAAAAAAGGCATAATAAAATTGAAAAATATTAAATAAACCT